CAAATTCAGAAGATTCTCAAAATCTTTGAATGTCTGTACGTTTTGTAAATTAATAAAATAGTGATAATAAAATAATATATGCAAAAGTTTTTTATTACAAGTGTAAATCGTTAGCAAAGTTTTTGCCATTTCGCGATAGTACTCTGATATCTTTTGTCAATTTATCTAAAATCTTTGTCTTTTCGGTATCTCTTACTGAATAATTAATAGCAAATACATGCTGAATAAATTTACATAAACGAGATATTAAAACCTGAGCCTATAATTCATTCACATTAGTAACATTTAATCACCAACTTAATACATGAGCTATCACAGACTTGTCTACAAAAGAAATAATTTCTTCTTTTCATAATGGGTTCGTTGTAGGTCTATAATTAATAAATATTATTAAATAAAAAAATAAATAAAAAGAAAATGAATATACTAATAAGATTCTTTTTTCTTTGAAATTCTCAGCTAAAGTTTCGACATTATTGATTAATTTGTTATGAAAGTCACTAAAGTGTCTATTTGCTATTTGAAGCCATTCAATGCCTTCTGCCTAATTAAGTTCACATTTAAGAACTTATCATATCAATTCTTCAAAGGCACTCTTTAGCAGATTTCGAATGCATAAAAATAGACATTTCAATTCTTCTAAAAAGTCACGAAAAGCCTTTATATTATTTCCTTGATTTGACATTATATTCAATGACCCAATTGAGATAGAATGCATAAATTGTGATCCTTCTACAGCTGGAATTTGCATTGACAAATGCATGTTATTTGCCAGCTGTAAAACATTAGGATTCATACATAATCACAAATAAAGCTGATAAATTGTCATCTCATTAAATAGAGAAGAAATGTCCTCATTAATTGTGTTAGAATGATGAGGTGTATCATCAAATGTATTATTGAGAATATTCATTATATTTGCTCTTGACCTTAAAGGTGACAACCTCATAGGTTTTAAATATAATGCTCTATTTGAGAGATCATAATAATCAGGACTATTTGTTCTTCTTTTTGAAGAAGCAAAATAGTCGTCATCTTGACTATTAATACCTGATAGAGATCTTGAATTTAGTTTTAAATTCAATCTTAAAAGAACGAAATAATCATCATCTTGACTATTGACACCTGATAGAAGTCTTGAATTTGATCTTGAAAGAACCTTTTCTTGACTATTAATACCCAATTGAGTTGAATTTAGTTTTGAAAGAACTCTTCTTAAAAATGTAAAGTCATCTTGACTATTAGTTCTTGATTCTAAAGCTGATTTTGGTTTAGAGAACAAGAATTCATTTTTGTTATTAGCTCTCAAATCTAAAGATACTGGTCTAGAAATCATTTTTTCTAAAACCAACATTGATCTTCTATTTGTTCCCATTTTTAAAGTAAACATTAATCCAGTAGCTTCTTTTTCTAGAATTGGTATCAATTTTGAAGGTGTAATAGCTTTATAAGCCTTATCACTATCCTCTTTTAAAATATTATTATCGTCCTCATTATTGTCTTCATTTGAATTATTATTACTCTTGTTTGAAACATCATTGTCATCTTCGTTTAGACTATCACTATCTTTTAAAAGTTCATCAATTATCTGTAGTTATGAAGTAATAATTTTTTTCTCTTTGTAACTCTTATAATTTTGTTCAGTTCCTTTAATAGTATTACTTTCGCAAATATCTATAGCTTTAGTTTCTTATACTTTCTTTTTGCAACCTCTCTTGTATTTTTTGTATTTTTATTTTGTGAAATATCTGTATTAATCAAAAGATTGTTAAGGTTATCTAAAGATGCTATTTCTTGATTATTGTAAGTTCTTTTAGTATTTGTATTAATTGTATTTATTTTTTCAATTGCACATTTTTTTGATTTTCTAGAAGGATTCATGGTTATTTAATAAAAACAAAGAGAAAAAAAAATACATTTTAAATAAATTGCTTATATTTTTTATTATATAAAATTGTAACATAATATTAACCTTTTTTATTGATCAATTACTAAATTTAGTTAATAATGTAATCATATGAAAGTATATGATTTACTATCGAAATTAATTTTATTTTTCTTTTTATATGATCATCATTACTAAATTTGGTTAAAAGTTTGATTTTTTATTTGTATACTTTATACAGTATACAGTAGCGGTTATAAGTATCCAACCGCCTCTAACTCCGGCTACAAGTAAGTAAATTCAAAAATTTTTTTTTTATTTAAAAAATACATAACCAACTAACT